TGTGCAGCAAGTTGTGGGAGCTGTCAACATAGGAAGTATCCAGGGAACATGAGATCAACACTGTCAGAGCGTGTGTGTGTCAGCACTAGAGCCCTACCCACCCACATGCCGTACGCACCCTCCCCTCAGAGCCCCAGGCCTCTCGAAAAAAAGCTCCCGGAACACAGGCCGGTGCCAGACCTAGCTCCCACTGAAGTGCCCCTCCCAGGTGATGGGATCACAGGACACCAGCAGTGCAACCAGAAGGAATTTTAGTCCAACCATATAGTTCTACCCCTCCCTTTTACAGATAAAGAAACTGAGGGTCAGAGAAAGGTAACTTGCCCAAGGTCACCACGGGAATAACTAGAATTTGAACCCAGGTTCTCCGACTTCAGATTCAACATTCCTTCCATGGTGCCAGGCATGAGGGCCTGGGGATTTTATTAACGAAGCTGACTTATCCATTTCTTCCTGGTGCTTGTTATGCTTTGGGGAAAGAGAGGCTCACTGATGTTCAGGATGGAACTGCATTTCCTCCGCGGTGGATCCCCTCTCGTGCTTCCCGGGGTGATCAAGAGGGAACTGAATCCCGTGGGAGAGCCATTTACTTTGAGGCAAGGAAGCCTTATGAGATGAAATGGAATGGAAAATTGTATGGGAAAGGACAGACAGGACAGGACAGGACAGGACAGGATAGAAAAATAGAGAACACAGAGGACTCTGGAGCCAGAGAACCTGGGTTCAAATCTCACTTCAGCCTGCACACTGTTAACCTCTCTAAGCTTCAGTTTTCTCATTTGTAAAGTAAGGAGTTTGGACTACATGTCCTCTAGGATCTCTTCTGGTTCTAGACCTGTGGTCCTTGAATAGAATCACAGAGCTGTAAAGGGCCCTAGAGATCACCTGACACAACCAATAGAATGTAAGCTCCTTGAGGGCAGGGAATATTTTGTTTTTTACTTTCTATCTCCAGAACCTGGTGCCTACCAAATATTTAACAAATTCTTGCTGAAAGAAGACAATCCCCTCACTTCAAAGATGAGGAAACTGAGGCTCAAATAAGTGAAGAGGCTTGTCCAATGTCACCCACCCAGTCAGTGACAGAGCTGGGACCAGAACTCAGGGTCTCCTGACTACCAGCCCCGTGATATTTCTACTCTCCCTGATGAGTGATGGTTCTGAGTTCCTAGCTCATGATGGATCATCAGAAAATGCCTCTTGTTCCTTCCCTTCCTCTCACAAACAAATAAAAGCCTCTAGCCAGACTGCATTAGGGTGTTAGTATGAGTTAGGCATCACTCACAGAGAGGAAGCGAATGCTATTCAGCATCTTCCCGCCATGGTCCCCTGCAGCCCTAGAGAGTCAATGCCTCTCCCATGGTGCCTGACTCATCCCCGGGGTCATTTATGTCCCGGGAGAGTCTGGCTCACCAACGTCTGTAAAATCTTTTGAGGTCCGTGGAGAAAAGCACATTAATGGGAGACATTATTATGATTGCTGATCCTGAAGGGTGGCTCAATTACAAGAGACCTCATTGGAAACATCAGGGCACATAGTAAATGAAGCCTGATTAATATTAGCTGCCCTGTCTGACATGTACTGTGTTTAATCACTATAATAGATCACAGAAATACAAAAAGTCTGAGCTCAAGAGGATCGCAGGGCCACAAAGTACAATCTGAACAGGAATCCCTGCTACCACATTCCCACCCAAGTTTTCATCCAAGACTTTAAGACCTCTAATGAGAGAGAACTCACTACCTCCAAAAGCCTCCCATACACTTTTGGACAGCTCTAATTTACTTTCATTAAATTAATACCTCCCCCATTGGAACATCCCCTCTTTGCTCCTAGTTCTTCCTACTGGGGCCCAACAAGTCTACTTTTTTTTTTTTTTTGCTTTCTGGTGAGGCAATCAGGGTTAAGTGACTTGCTCAGGGTCACACAGCTAGTAAGTGTCAAGTGTCTGAGGCCAGATTTGAACTCAGGAAGAGTCATCTTCCTGACTCCAGGCCTGGCGCTCTATCCATTGCACCACCTAGTTTCCCTCCCTATAACCCTGCTGGGATACATATACGGTCTCCCAGGGAAGTACTGGTCTCTTGGGAGAAACAAACTCCGTAATTCCAAATAACACTGAAAGTATCAATGATAACGGCCAGGTGACCACTATTCCCCTCTCAATGCAAGGACAGGTTCATAAGCTGCTCAGAATGAAGAAGGCCCTAGAGCTGATCCCTCTCTAATAGGATGTTTATTAGCAGAGTGGGCATCTCAAGGAGGTGCACTAGTCTGCCAGGAGGGGATGACTGCCCTGGCCTGGCGTGCTCTGTACAAGTTAGCAGTGTCAATGCAATGTGACAGGGAACCAAACTGGGAGGCATGTGGCCAGGCTTGGAGGGAAAGATGCCTCCACTAGGGAGCAGGGCCTCCAAGGCTTTATCTCCTGGAGGTAGCATTTACACAAGCTGGCCCCCGTGTCTAGAAGGAACCCTCACCTCAGCTCTGCCTTTCAGGATCTTTTTCTTCCTCCAGGGCTTAACTCAGATGTCACCTCCTCCATGGAGCCTTTCTGAATCCCACCTTAGTTGTGGATGCTCTGTCTCACTCTATTCTAATTAATTTGCATTTATTTATCTGTGTATATGTTATATTACGTGGCTCAGCAGACAGAATGTTGGGCCTAGAGTCAAGAAGACCTGAGTTCAAATCCAGCCTCAGACACTTACTAACTGTGTGACCCTGGGCAAGTCCCTTAACCCCGCCTCTGTTTGCCTTAATCCACTGAAGCAGGAAATGGCCAACCACTCCAGTATCTTTGCCAAGAAAACCCCATGGACAGCATGGTCTGAATGACTAAACAACAAAAATATGTTATATTACCCTCAAAGAACGTAAACTTCTTGAGGGCAGCAACCGTTTCATTTTTGTCTTCATATCTCTAGTATCTAGCAGAGTACCTTGTACATTGTCAGTACTAAAAAAAATTTGTTGAATAATAATATCCCCTCATAGGTAGATAGTACTTTAGAGAGAGCTGGCAAAGCATTTTAGAGGCAGCTAGTTAGCACAGTGAATAGAGCATGGGGCCTAGGGTCA